AGTGGGAAGAAGTGGGGGCTGAAGGGGGGGTAGGGTAGGGCATGATCAAAGGGGCCATTTCTCACTTTTCTTTCCTCCTCTTCACTGCCCCTTGAGGTAGGTGGATTATCTCTTCTTGACAATAAGAGTATTTGGTAGGGAAGGCAGGTTAAAAAATAAAACCCACCCCCTGCCCCTTTGTTTCCCCTCCCCCATCAGTCTGGTAACAGGAAGAAACCACACCATCAACACCAAGTTTCCATGTTCCTTTTACAGCAAAAGGGACTCGACTTTTTATATAACCAAATGTGGTGTTTTAGTGACTTTTTGATAATGTACAGTTTTTTGTGAATTTAAATTTATTTCTTTCTATATTTTTAGGACCAATCTCATTTTTAATAAGGTTTAAAAAAGGAAAAAAAAAAGTCTAGAGAAACAAACTCCTGTTTTTGCCATGTGATGTTCCACAAGTGCAGCTGTAGAAAAGTGCTTGTCAGTTGAATAAAACCACATTTGATAGAGATTCAAAAGACTCTGTGTATTTATCTTCCTTTCAACATAGGTTTTCACACTTGCCTAAGGGGAGAACTAGGGGTTAGGGTATGACTCGTTTGGTGTGAGATAGCAGGTGAGAGAGCAATATGCCCTTAATTTTCCAAGGTTTATCCTTAAACCTCCCAGCTTGGCCTTTCCTGTGCAAGAGGCGTCCAGAGCAGAATTTCTGCTCATGTGGATGGAACAGGGTCTTGGTGCCTGTGGCCAGAGTGCTGGAGAAAGTGGGATTCAGTGTGCATAGTTCTCGCCTTGTGGAAATAGGGCTTTGGTTTCATAAGCTGCCACCTATGTTTCCATAGTAGCAAATATAGGCCCATTACCAAATTCCCAGCTTCTACCCATGGATAAGACACCAGGAGGTAGACATTTGTGTTTTATTTCAAAACAAGTTGAAATAAGACAAAAATGAAGCTCTACCAAATTGTAGGGAAGGAACATGAGAATACCAAAGGTCAGAAAAGAAATAAGCTAGAAGGGTGGCATTGGCATAGACATGATAAAACGAGAAGATTCTGGATAAAGGAAAAGTGTACAAAATGTGAGTATAAAACTATTTCCCTGTCAAAGGTGATAAGTGCATGAGAGAACACTCACTACCTAAAAAGTATGTGTTAGGGGATAGGGAAACCAGTAATAGAGTGAGGACTTTATTTGCTCAGGCCAGGAAATCTTAACCACCCTCCAAGCTGTAAGTTTTGTTTTGGTAAACCCTCTGAACTAACTAATAAGGTGAAAAAGAAACATCTGTTTTTCTAGCCCTATAAAAATCACAAATGTCCTTTTGTGCTTGCTTTCCTTCTCAGGTATGTGGCAGCCATTAGCCAACTCATCCTCAAGTTTTGAGCTCTGCTCCAACTCTGGTGTCCCTGGGAGTGGCTCCTAAGATTAGTTTTATCCTAGGCCGTCATTACACAGTCTATCCCTCTGGCCTACCACAGCAAGACTTAACCGAAGAGTTCACACTATTCCAGGGTGATTAATGAGCTAAAAATCCCAAAGACATTCTAGAAACAACCAACCAAGAGTTTTTGCACTTGATCATGAAACATTTTCTAGCTCCCCGGCTTTCTAACCCTCAAAAAGGGAAGGACAGAGTAAAGGAAAGATGTAAACCAGGTACTTGTGCCCTTGTTGAATTGTGAAATTGTGAGGTAGATCTGTAACAAGGACAAGGAAGTTTTGGGATATGCTTGGAGAATGTTTATTCAAAACAAGTAGATATATCAGAGAGAAAGTTTGAACTTAAGACACCTGGCTTTCTCATTACTGAGTCATGTGGGGACTACACCTAGAGAAGTGCAGCAAAGACCAGAAGGGTGATAGAGCTCACAGGCTCCATCCTCCTACAAAAAGACGAGGTGAAACCTGAGTAAATAAGGGATCTGCTAAAGCCTGGTAGGACCGAAATTGCAGGTAAGCACAGAAATGGGAGTAGTTAGTTTAAGAGGGAATCCGGAAGAAGCAGTGTGACAAGAAACGTGATTTAAGACTCCTTATGGATTGGCTTTCATGACACCCACTCGTTTCTCTGAAGCTAGTCTAGCAAAGCAGGTCGTCTCATCTCCCATCCAAGTTTACTGCCTGCCCTTGGTTAAGGTCAAAGTAGCCCCTCATAAATGCAATGCTGCTGTTCTCCCAGAAGGTGGAGCACATGCACAAGAGCAGCAATGATTTTTTTTTCCCCTGGAAAACTAGAGGTCTCTGTGATCCCTGCAACGTTCCATTCCAGCAAGGCCTCTTTCTGCAAGGTATCAACCCACATGTAGGCCCCCAAAGGGCTGACAAAAGCAGAAGGGAGTGAGCACTGCAGACACCAAGGGAATGAATGAGCTCACAGCTCAGTAAATTAGGAAAGGAAGTAGAACGAAACTGGGCTGAGATGGCCCAACTGAGGGACAGTCACAGTCAGTAGAGCAGTAAGATTTAGTTTTTCTCCTCAGTGAAAGTAATGTCTTCCTACCACCCCTATCTTACTGACAAGGGCTATTATCACTTTGGAGCTACCAGGCCAAGACTGGACAGCCTTTCGAATTCTTTGGTTAAAAAATAACCTCTCCACCAATGTTCCCACATCTTCCCTAACCTCTGCCCTCACCCTCCAAAAAGTCTAATCAGCCTAGGGTCTGTGCATCATCTCAGCATGAGGAACAGTGATAACAGTGCCATGAGATGAGGCGAGCAGGCTCTGAGCCTAGTTAAGGACTATATGTAGAAGGGACTCAGTTATGTTCTATTTGGCTGAAAACAAAAAAGTACTAAAATGTTTCAATGTTATGAGCATCTGTAATGAGTAGGGATGATTATGTGAAGTACAGGAAAAGTATAATCTGGGCTCCATATAGACAATTTAGAAAACACTAGAGATAAGTGTTTAAAGAGCCCAGCCTTAGGCTGTGAGCTTGAAGGGAATTACGATTCCCCTGCCACCACTGCCACCATTGAACTATTTCATGAGAGAAAATATGTCCCTCATTCCTCCTTCCTTACCCAGTCACTCACTCATGTCAGATCTGTTAGAAATGAACTAAGAACTAGGGGGGAAAAATAGCATGAATGTAACCCAAAAACATCCAAAAGAAATTCCACAGTGCCATTAACCACTACAAAAATAACTTCAGGCTCCCCATCACTTCCCATGCCCAAAGATACCTGCCCAAGCCAGAAACATTAATAGAATCCATTAAGTAGATTCACATGAAGAAAATACACAAAAGTTAATTTCAGAATTTAAAGCAAAACAATCACAGACGTTTGAACATTTTTTAAAATACAGAGAAGAATCAGGAGTTCTGGGAGGTGAAGGAGGAGCAGCAGTATTATCAACAACAGTTTCCATGCGTGAAAGGTCCCCATAGCACTAAGCCTCACTTAGTAAGGCTCCTCCAAGCTACTATCAAATGAACGGGATTCTAGATTTGTTTTCTTTGTTTCTTCCTCATTCCTCCTTCCTTACCCACTGACAAGAAATCTACAGTGTACTTTTCTTGACTAAGGGCTGGAGACTCAGGTACCTACCCAGCCAAACCTTTCTAGAAGATTATTGGGCTTGAGGCTGTTTCAAACTGGATGAGCCTTTCCTGGGGTTGGAAGCAACCATGAGAAAATTAGTAGTGGCAATTTTGTCCTCTATACTTTATATGCTACCCATTGCTCTCCCCCGCCCCCAACTCACTTACCCCAAGGATGTACCAAAGGACAGTCTAAGCATAGGGAGCATTTGGACTCTCAATTCTGGGATGGGTGGGAGGGGAAGTAAAGTTGGGCCCAAGCTCTATGTACAACACAGAAGCTAGTACTACAGCTTCTTTTCCCAGTAACATCTCCTTCCTCTCTGACAGCCAGCCTAATGAACACCGGTTTCTCCATTCTCTGTCATATGGCTTTCAGTATGACTGGTAGAAAGGCACCTGATCTTGAAGGGGAGCAGAATTCTCCTTTCAGTACATAAGGGAGCAACTGGGAGAAGACAGGTGCAGGATCTTATTTCCTAGAAGATGGGCAAAGGCTTTCTCCTCTCTCCATGTGCATAGTGTGTGGTCTCGCAGAAGGAGATGGAGTTGAGGAGAAAATAACAGACTTTTTAAAAGGACTCCTGACCTTGTTAATAACACAATAGGATTTATTGCCCTTTTCTATCCTAACTCTCTGCTGTCTTTCTACAAAAAAGAAAATTACTTTTGATGTCCTGGTTCCCTGGAAAAGAGGCCCAAACACATCAAAGCAGGACGGGTTACTCTGGACAGTTATAGAGAGCTTTGTCCTTTCCCACTAGGCACAGCACATGCACAGAACAGCCCCCACCTCAATCTGTGTGTGTGCATATGGCATGTGCACAACAGCACAAGCCTTTCAAGGGTCACTTCAATAGTTGCATGAGTGTCAAAAGGCACTGTGTGTCCAGGGTTGGAGTAGGAATTTACCAAATCCTCTGGTACAGGAGGCAGGGACAACACTATCTCCATCAAGTCTTCTCAACTTTGGCACTACTGACATTTTGAAACAGATAATTCTTTGTTGGGCGTGTTGGGTCTGTCCTGTGTGCTGCAGGATGTTTAGCAGCATCCTTGGTCTCTAGCCACTAGATGCCAGTAGCACAGCAGCCTCCCTCCCCAGGCATGACAATCAAAACTGTCTCCCGAGATTGCTAAATGGCTTCTAGGGAACGAAATCACCTCCTTCAGAACCACTGGTCTAGAGGTGAAGCAACTGATCTTCCACAGTGGGGAAGGAGCCTAAGTAGACTCAGCAATGTCACAAGTACAAAGCCTCTGAGCACAGCAATGTGCAATGGGCAAGACAGGGGCCCTGAGACCCAGAGCCGAAATGAAGATCCTTCAGAAAGCAGGAAAGCAGGTATTCCTGAAAAGCTGTAACTGGAGAAGACACTTCCTCAGAGGGTGTTGGCTTCCGCAGTGAGAAGAATTAGAATTCTGTCAGTAAGTCCACCCTTCTGGAACTTGCCAGGGAAAACCTAGTCTTCATCCAAATTTGGCTCGAGGATGACTTCTAAGGGCTGTGGGATTGTCTCTTAAATGAGCCTAGGTCATATCTCTGCTTCCTGAAGGCAAAGTCTAGTCTTTTCTCCCAGGATGTGGCAGAACAGAGAGAAGAAAAGCCACTTCCATTGCTTGCTTAGTATTCTACCTTGTTCCTTGCCCAGGCCCCCCAAAATTCCATACAAAATTTCATTCAAAAGAGAAATTCACAAAATTAAAAATTGTAAAAAGGTCTAAATAGGCAGGCTCTGCTGTACGGAAAAGAGGAAAAGAACAATGTGGATGAGAGAAGGCATAAAATTTGTGAAGAGACAGGATGTATGAGCTAAGAGCTTTATAAAACAAAATTTTAAAAGTCTGCATATTTTCTTACACATATATCAAAAAAGTCTGTAACTAAACTCAGTAAAGAAGGGCCCACAGTGGGACTCCTTCAGTGTTCTAGCACCACACCTTTTTCTTACAAGAAGAAATAATAAAAAATTTTAAAAGCCTCCCCTCATAAGTCCAACACATAAAGAAACGTTTTTCATAAAGATGAGAAGAATCTCTAGGCACTGTGTGTCTTTGGTTAAGGGAAAGGATATATTGCAGCTAAAAACAAAACATAAAACTTCCCTTGCAAAAGAAAGAAAAAAAAAAAAGGTTTTTTGACCTTGACTCTAGCATACAAAAAGTGACGGTTCCCTCTGGCTCCATCAGGAATGGAGGAGTAGAAGAGGGCAGGAGAGCAGAAATTTCTTTTCCAGGCCGAGGCCTGTGAAAACGATGGCCAAGTGTTAGTTCTTAGCAGGGCCCACAGGTGGTCTGTATTCCTGGTTAGCCCTCTGGAGTCTAGGAGCATCAGCGTCTCCAAGAATTCATTTGTATTCAACAAAGATGGGGAGGGAAATCCTAAAGGAGGAATAAACCAGAGAGGGTAGGGAGGGGGAATGACAAACATGAGAGACCTTGTCTGACTTCAGGCTGCTCAACATACCCTGCCCCTCAGCATGTGGTTCTTACCACTGTTACTTGTTGAACTGGAAAGAATAAACCCCATGGTCTGAGGGAGCATCCACCGTCACTTGATTTTGTTGGCCGCTGCTCTCCTGTACCACAGCCAAGATAGGAAAGTCACTTTGTACATTCTTACCTCACTTCCCACTACAGCAATTAGCTAAAACCCACACAGAGTTGATGCCCTCCCAACCTACCTACTCTCATACACCTGAGTGAGTATGCACATGCACAGCACACACGTAGGTACATACACAGCATTACTTCCCCAACATTTACAGCAGCCTACCCTCTCCCCAAGAAACACTAGTCAATACAAGCCAGCATCCTGGTATTAACCGCTACCTGGCCAAATGTCAGGAAGGGCCTCATTCAAGGACACTAAGTCTTTCCTTCCTACATTTTTCACATACCTACTAGCTCTTTGTGAACACAGAATCGGCATCATTGTGAGAGCAAGATCTTGATCGGGGGAAATCTGCCTCTGTTCATTTTCCATTTGGATTTCTCTCAATCTAAAGAGATTATAGAGCTCTTACCTCAACTGAAACATTCGAAGAAGGCACAGGGGTGTACTGGGAGATGTAAGCTCCTTGCACAGCTGTAGCTGTTGGCATATACTAGAATGAAAAACATCAATAGGCTTAGAGCAATGATTCTTGACTACATTTAAAACACCTGGGAACTTTAGAAAAATACGGATGGTCCATCCCCAGAGATCCTAATTTAATTGTCTGATTTAATTGGGCTTTTTAAAAGCACTTCAGGTGGTTCTAAAGTACACTAGCTTAGAGCAGGAGTCCCAAACCCCCGGGCCACGGATCAATACCAGCACCAGTCCCCGGCCTGTTAGGAACCGGGGCACACAGCAGGAGGTGAGCAGCGGGCAAGTGAAGCTGCTTCTGTATTTGCAGTGACTCCCCAGCACTAGCATCACCATCTCAGCTCCACCTCGGAGCATCAGGCATTAGAGTCTCATAGGAGCACCGGCCCTGGTGCCAAAAAGGTTGAGGACCGCTGGCTTAGAGAGTCTTCCACCTACATGACTTTTTTCTCCTCTTTCTTGTCTTCTGCTTTTCCTCAATGCACTGCATTCTCTGCCTTTAAGCCCCACTGTGCGAATCAGAATGTAGCAGACCTACCGAAATCTAATGGACGTCATCCATTCTTCTTGTTACTATTTTGATAAGAATTTCTAAGAAACATGAATGAACTCCTAGGTAAATTAGTATGAAGACAGAAACACTATTTGTTTCGTTTTATGAGTAGAAATCAGTTAAAAGAAGTGGGCTTGGGAGTAGAATGGCTGTATTCCTGGCTCATGGATTATTATCTTTTTTGTTTATCTCCTATTCTGAGTCCACCCTCAATGATACTAAAGTGATTCTCATCATCATTCATAACTATTTATACTGAACAGTATTACATAGGTATTCCTTGCTCGGTAGGAGTTTATAATCAGAAATATGCTGCTTTACCGTGCCAGTAGTGCTAAGGGAGAGGTGGCCCAATTGCTGGGTAAGAGGTCCCATCATGGAGGCAGGCTGGAGAGAAATGCGGTGATCCATCCCTGGTGTCAGAACTGAACCCTAGAGGCAGCAACAAAGGACAAGGTTAGTTGGCAGCATCCTGTGAGGCTGCCTGAAGCAGTGATTCATGGCTACCAGGACCATTGAAGACAGACATTTTAAAATCTTGGGAAATGATATGTGAGCAGCAACCCAGTTATGCAACAGGAATGGGTCGTCTGCCCATCAGTCTAGAGGGATCCCTGTCTAAGAATAACAAGCTCACAGAATTTAAGGTCATATCCCTAGGTTACATAAGGGCCTGAGCAAGAACTCATACCCACATCTCCTGTTATCAAATCCCATTGTTTTTCTTTACATCAAATTGCCCATTTGGCTTTTGACCACTTCTGAACACTCACTGAAGGCTGCATGAGGTATGACTGGTGGTGCATCCAAGACGAGTTGGGTACTTGTAGAGATGTCTGAGTTACTCTCTAATGCAAGTAAAAATAAACAAAAATGTTAATTGCCCAGAAACTATTGTTTCATCCAGTGATCTGATCATGTTCAGCAAAACCCCGCAAAAGTTGGAGTGCCCCCTCAGAAAACAGAAACGTTAAGAATAAACTGTTTAAAAAATATTAGTAACTCTTACACCTCAATAAATAACCCAATTTAAAAATAGGCAAAGGATTTGAATAGATATTTCTCTAAGAAGACATACAAATGGCCAATAAGCACATGAAAGATGCTCAAAAAATCCTTAGTCATTAGGGAAATGCAAATCAAATACACAATGAAATACCACTTCACACCCACTAGGACGGCCATAATTAAAAGGACAAAATAATAAGTGTTATACACTGCAGATGGCAACGTAAAATGGTTCAACAGCTTTGGAAAAGTCTGGCACTTCTTCAAAAAATTAAAGTTAATTGTATAAACCAGCAATTCTACACCAAAAGAAATGAAAACATGTCCACATAAAAATTGTACACAAATGGTAGCATTATTTATAAGAGCCAAACGTTAGAAACAAAACAAAAATGGCCATCAACTAACTGATAAATAACAAAATGTATGGTATATCCATACAATGGAATATGATTCAGTCATAAAAAGACATGAGGTACTGAAACATATTGTAACATGGATGAACCTTAAAAACATGCTAAATGAAAGAAACCAGACACAAGATATATATTGTATGCTTCCATTTATATGAAATGTCTAGAAAAGGCAAATCTATAGACGTAGAAAGTGTATTAGCGGTTGCAGAGACTAGGGGTAAGGAAGAATGAGGAATGACTGCTAATGGGTACAGAGTTTCTTTCTGAGGTGATAAAAATGTTCTGGAATTAGATTATGGTGATAATTGTATAACTTTGTAACTATACTAAAAACTACTGACTTGTATACTTAAAGAGGGTGAATTTTATGGTATGTGAATTGTATCTGTTTTAAAATGAAAAAAAGTTAACAATGAAAAGCTAGAAATGCATCATAATAAATAAGTAGTTTATTTCATAAATATAAGGATTATTCAAGAGCAGAAACTCTATACATATAAGTCAAAATTGAAGGGAAAAGTCATTGTGTAAAAACAAATCGTTTTTATAAGTTGATGGGAAAAGAACAAATAACCAAACAGAAAAATGAGCTAAGTATATGAAAAACAATCAGAAGCAGCAAATCGATATATGACAAACATTAAAAAAAAAATGCTTAAACTTAAGCTGCAGTCAAGGAAGTACAAATTAAAATCAGAATGCACTTTACAATCATTAAGATAGGGAAAATTTTAAAAGAGCAATGTCACCTATGGCTGGAGAGAAATGGGTACTCATATATTGCTAACGGAAATGTGAATTGGCACCGCCTTTGTGAAAAGTAATCTGGCAACATCTATAAAACTGAAAGTCCATAAATTATTCAACCTAGCAATCCCACTCTTCAGACTCCAGCCCCCAGAAATAAAAGCACTCATGTATAAGGACAGAGCACAAGGATGTTTGCTGGAGCATTATTTGTACCAGAAAAACACTGAAATCCAAGAGAATGCCCTTCACTGGGGTATAGCTGAAGAATTCTGGTGTATCTGCAGCACGAAATATAATGCAATTATTAAAAAAAAGAAATAATTAGAACAGAGGATCTCAACATTTATCTGCATCAGAATCACCTGGAAGGCTTGTTAAAATTCAGATTGCTGAAACCCATCGCCAGAGTTTCTAATTCAGTAGATCTGGAGTGGAGTCTAAGAATTTGTTTCTAAAAGTTCCAAGGTGTTGCTGATATTGTTGGCCCAGGGACTATACTTTAAGAATCACTGTCTTAAACAATGAGATACCATCTCACACCTGTTAGAATAACTATAATCAACAGGACAAGTGATAACAAATGTTGGAGAGGATGCAGAGAAAAAGGAATCCTCATACACTGCTGGTGGGGCTGCAAATTGGTACAGCCACTATGGAAAACAGTATGGAAGTTCCTCAAAAAATTAAGAATTGATCTACCATGTGATCCAGCGAGGAAAAGGAACTCTCATACACTGCCAGTGGGACTGCAAATTGGTACAGCCACTATGGAAAACAGTGTGGAGGTTCCTCAAAAAATTAAGAATTGATCTATTATATGATCCAGCAATCCCTCTACTGGGTATTTACCCCAAAGACTTGAAAACCCATATCCGAAAAGATATTTGCACACCGATGTTCATATCAACTTTATTCACAGTGGCCAGGACCTGGAAGCAACCGAAGTGTCCTATGATAGATGTTTGGCTAAAGAAGCTGTGGTACATATACATATATACAATGGAATGTTACTCAGCCATAAGAAGAGATGAAATACTGCCATTTGTGACAACGTGGATGGACCTCGAAATAATCATGTTAAGCAAACTAAGCCCGACAGAAAAATTTGAAAATCACATATCACTTATATGTGAGATATAAACCTAAAAGCAACAAAGGAACAGGACAAACAAACAGAGACTCATGGACATGGACTATAGACTAGTGGTTACCAGAGGGTAGGGGGTAGGAGAGGAGCGGGGAGGTAGACGGGGTAAAGGGGGTCAAATAGGGGGGGACAGAAAGAAATCTAACTATGGGAGGTGAACACACAGTGTAAATATATATATGTATTCCTTACTGTTAAAGTGTACAGCTGAAACTTATTGGATTTCATTAACCAAATGTCACCATAAAAAATTAAAAAAAAAAATTAAAAAAAAACTTCATAAAATTGTGTATTTATTATTTTAAAATGATGCAATAAGGTTTTAATAAGTAATAAAATTTTAATAGACTACAATGTAAAAAAAGAATCACTGATTTAAGGTACTGTTAAGTGAGAAAAATATGAAAAATATATTTAATACGGTCAAATTTTTATAAAATAAACAATGACTTCCAAAACCCTACACATATGCATATATGCATATAAAGAAAAATACGGAAAACTGTAGGAAATTAACATGGATTTATTTGTGGCATGATGGACAGAGACTAAGGATGCTGCCTCTACAACAGTCTCTCTCCATATGTAATGCTTTTATGTAAAATCATTTGTGTGTAATATCTATAAAAGAAAAACAAAAATACAGCAAGTAGTTTCCAGCTTTATATTCCTTCACCTAAAATACAATGACAGGGAAAACCACCACACCCTTTCTGGGGCATGAACATACCTGATACGAAGACACAGGAGATGGAAGGTATGGGGAGAGTGTAGACTGAGCAAGCATCCTGTTGGGGGTGATGTTATAAGGAGCTGGGTAAAACCTGTAGGAAGGAACCTCATCTGTAAGGAGTCACAGGAAACCACAAAGTAAGGGCTCCCATTGGTAGACACAGCTACTTCCCACTAAGCGCTATTTAAAAATCAAAATGAAACATCCGAGTGCCTAGACACAGGCTATTGTCATTTTCAGGTGACCTGATTATATAAAACACCCTTACCCATTCTGAAGAGCTGTGATGGGGTCATAGGTCAAGGCCATACTACCCTATAAAGAAAGAACACGGTATTCATATTGTGAGACCTTGGGTGAGAATAGAAGCAAGCTGAAAATGTCAAGGCTAGGGATGTATTTGGTTCAGCTGATTGAACTGAAGTCTGGACAAGCTGTTCGAGAGTTTTTCTGCTTGTGCACACTGCAAGATCCCACTCAAGACCCACACTAAAGATCATGTTAAATAGCCAACATCTCTCAGTTACAAACGGTAGCTCTCAAGCTTGCTACCTCAGCTCACAGAAATCGGGCCATGGTAATTTCCATTCCATTTTAATATCCTTGGTACTCCTGTCTCCTCAGAGGTCCTCTCACCATGTCTCCATTCCTTGGCCAGGCTGGTCCATTTTGCACAAATTTTCCTTGGTTCTGTCGTTTCTTTGGACCACCATCAGCAAATTTGCAAAGCAATGGATCAGATGGGGCTGCCAAGAGAGAAAGCAGACAGGCAGCTGAGTCTCTCCTCACTTAGCCCACTCACACTCATGCCAAACCCCTCCAGAATCTTCACTGGAAGTAACAGCCTGTGGACCTCTAAGCCCGATTCTCAGATGTCTCACCTGGTATTCCAGGGGGTGTCTTAATATATTTTCCATTAAAGTGGGTGATGATGGCTTCACACTTCTCTGTGGACTCCATCCTAAGGAGCACAAGAGGGGTTAGGCTCTACCTTCTCCAGGATCTGTGCTCTCCCTACATTCAAAAAGAAAGCTCTAAGATCCCAGCCCCATAAATGCTTCAAAAGTTGTGACTATAGAAACAGAGTTTCTTCCACACAAATTCAAGGTATCCTGAAGAAGCAGCCCCAGCTTCTAATGAAGGTTTTCTCAACTGGCTCCTGTAGGGGTTCTGAAAGGAATAATGGAGGTCTTTAAGCTATGAATATGTATTCCAAAGAAGATAGATACTAATGGATGGGCCTAGTACTGTGTCTGGTTCATAAATAAGAATACAATAAATAGAGGCTGTTACCATTACTTTTTATTACAAAATTCCTAATGGAAATTTTTCCTTCACTCTGATAAAACTACAAAGGCTAAGAAGTAGCCAATATTAATTTTTTGCTTCTGGTTATTTATCAAGGTCTAATTAGCTACTGATAACATCATTAAGATTTCATGAGTCTGTAGGAAGAAACAGTAATAAGAAAGGGTTTATGGTTGATAGTGAGTGATTAAAAAAAACAATGTTAGAAACTACTGAGTTAAAGTATCTTGCTAGAGAAAGAAGACTGAGTAAGAAATCAGAAAACCTAGACTCCAGCACCTATTCACCACCCATAACTCTGTGAGTTAAGACATACACACAAACTCTTTGGATCTATTCCTCATATCTGCTTTACAGAAATTATCCATCTACTCTACTACACAGGGTTGTATAGATCAAATGAGATAATGCATACAAATGTGTTCTAAAAATTGTAAGGATCTACACAGTACAACATACAGTTTCTTCCCCTTTTTCCATATTTAAAGTAAGCTTCAGTATATTTTCTATGCCAGTAACTACTAAAAATATAAACAATTCCTGTGCAGGCAGTCACTAAAAAAAGGCCTCACATGGAACCTTTTAGAGAAAACCACATGTGAAGTCTTTGGTTGGGTTACTCCTACTCCTTAATCTTTCAAAAGGGTGAGCAGGCATGGAGAGTTTTAAGAGAATCGCTTTCAGAACTTCAACTTCCTCAGAACCTCCTTCCTACTACTGATCTGCCTGAGGAATTGCTCGTGATCACTAATGATCGAGGCTAAAGTCTCCTCTCACAACCACTCCATTCAGTTTACTTCACCCTCATGCAGACTCAACATGAGGCAGTGATGACTGAGTTACAAATCATTTTGTTAGTTTAGATAGTCCCAATTCTTCCTTGCAACAGAAGCTGGAAGACTCAGCGAGTTGTCAATTGACATATGAAAAAAATTGGTTTTGATGATAGATCACCCTGGTCCTTGGCATATGATTCACAAGTAATTCAAAAAATTTCTATTTTAACAAAACTCTTTCTATTCCCATCCACTTATTTATGTGAACAAGGTTTCTCAGCATGAAAACAAACAAACAAACAAAAAAGGAACAGAACTGATAAACCCTGTCTTGTTACAGCAATAAACAATATTCACTGATGGCTACATAACCTAATTAGAAAAATCTAAACAAAATAAAACTTACCCATGTCATAGGAAAAGCATTTCCAATAAAATTTACTTTATATAAAATAACTTTGTATCACCATTTTAATATATTTGTGTTGTTTGGGGCAGCTGTGAACTAATAATTATAAAGAGAATTTTCTTATAGTTAATATATATATAGCTTCATGGCCACTGGAAAAAAATTAATTTACATACATATTTTTATTGCAGAGAAGTATGACAGAATAATCCATAAAAAGACTTTCAA